CCACCTGTATCCCTATTTAAACGATTTGTTTTTCCCCTTCCCCTCCACAAATTATACCAACATCAAATATAGTGAAAGCAGAGGTTATACTGTGGGGGAGGGACATACAAAGCAACAAAGAAATAATCTTATAAATGCGTTAGAAACAATCGCATGAAAGAAAAAAAATTGAATACATATCTTAGGGTTCATAAGATATGAGTACATTTCTTGTCAAACAGTATTACCCTCTCCTGCATTTTCTCCCACTTTCCTTCCCCCCGACTCTCCTCCCCGAGGTTGTAAAGTTCATGTCCAACATAGTGCCTTGTGAGTATCACTGTTGCGTTGGTTCACCCTTTGCCCTTTGTCTCACCATTTTGTGATTCCCCTTCGCTTCTCCAAATCAGATAAATATATACAAGACACAAGGTACAAAAACTAAAAAAGACCAGTGACAGCAGGGAATAAACCAAAGGAAAAAATGAAAGAAAAATAAATAACTTCACACAGTACATTAAAAAAAGACAGAAACCTCTTGTTTCCATATCTTGGAGTTCATTTCAATTAGCATCATTTTTTATGGTCATATGTACATAGCTATTGAGCTATTGTAATCCTCTGCTAGGCCTATCCTAGACTAATTATTGCAAATGAGGGAACCCATGGAACCTATGTTTCTTTGGGTCTGGCTTACCTCACTTAATATGATTTTTTTTCCAAGACAAGTCCCTCAGTAAATGAATGGATCAAGAAAATGTGCTATATAATCACAATGGACTTCTATGCTTCCATCGGAAAGAACGACATTGCCCCATTCATAAGGGAATGGAAAGACTTGCAGAAACATTTTTAAAAATAAGAAACAATAAAACACTGATGTGTGATGAAGTAAGAATTTTAGATTATGGACTTAAAAAAGATATCAGACATTAGACAAGAAATTTTAATGTCAGCTGTCAGTATCTCTTCCTTGCTCCTCTCTTTTGTTCCTTTTATGGCCACTTAAACACTAGCCATATTAAACACATATTGTGTTCTGTATCAAATACTGATAGTTTCACAAAAATAAATAAATCCCGCGCATTTGGGAAGTTTCTTAACTGCAGCATCTTTTCTGGTATTTAATAATCTCTTCTGCTGCCTCATCCAAATTAAAATGTTTTTTTCTTCTCAATCCCAACTGAACATTATTAAAAATCCATCTTTATCCAACATCTCTGAAACATTCAAAATAGTTTCCACGAAATAACAGATCTTATTTTGTATCCTTATTTGATTGGTATATGTATTTAATAAAAGTGAATGATTATAATTATAGCCCAAACAAAAAAGTTCAGAGTAGTCCCGCTCCGGTGGGTGGCTCAGGACTGTAATCCTAGCTACTCAGGAAGCTGAGATCTAGGATCATGGTTCAAAGTCAGCCAGGGCAGGAAAGTCCATGAGACTCTTATCTCCAATAAACCACCAGAAAACTGGAAGTGGCACTGTGGCTCAAGTGGTAGAGTGCTAGTCTTAAGCTGAAGAGCTGAGGGACAGCGCCCAGGCCCAGAGTTCAAGGCCCACGACCGGCCCCCCCCCCAAAAAAAATTCAGAGTAAACTAAGTAGTTTCCCAATGAATCTCTGGCTGAGAGAGAATAAAAAAATACTTCTTAATCTGGAGAGGTGGTTAAGAAGTCCCCAAGATAGCTTCTACTGTATCCTAACTATGTGTTAGGAGATGTTTCCACCAGTTTTATAGAAACTAGTCTCATCAAATTTTATGTTTCATTAAAATATCTATAATTTTATAGTTTTGCGGGATTAGTCCCATCAAAAAGTACTCCCTACCTCATTTTGACTGTGGATATACTCTGTTGAATGGCTGTTGATGGCTGGTGGGAATCCTTAAAGGTAGGGATTCTGCTTTCTCTGAATTGCTTTGCTGGAGTAAGGAATAAAGCTTAGTCGAAGGCTAAAGATTTCTCATTGTTATTTTTTAAATTAATTAGTTTTTTTTCTTGTGAAAATACCATACAGAGGAGTTACAATTACACGAGCAAGGAAATGAGTACATTTCTTTTTTTTCTTTTTTTTTTTATTGTGAAAATACTGTACAGAGGGGTTACAATTACATAGGCAAGATAATGAGTATATTTCTTATCAAGCATTGTAGCCTCCTCCTTTGTTTCCCCTTCCCATCCCTTCCCACCCCCCCCCCGGCCCCCCCCCCAAATTGTAAAGTTCGTTTTTGACTTGTACATCTCATTGTTGCAATGGGTCCACCTGTATCCCTATTTAAACCATTTGTTTTTCCCCTTCCTCTCCACAAATTATACCGACATCAAATACAGTGAAAACAAGGGTTATACTGTGGGGGAGGGACATACAAAGCAACAAAGAAATAATCTTATAAATGTGTTATAAACAATTGCATGAAAGAAAAAAAAACATTTGACTACATATCTTAGGGCTCATTTCCCTAACATCACCTTATCTGACCTTTTCTGCTTGACTCAGACATATACTAGATATTGCAAATAAGGGAAACCATGGGACCTATGTTTCTTTGGGCCTGGCTTACTACTTTCATTATTTTTAGTAGGCAATATTTGCACATAATTTCTCTGTGATTTTATCCCTCAGTGCCTGACATTCAGTATCTTCATTACCATTTTTATAAATATATTTTATCTATTTTTAAAATTTCAGATGGGAAAGAAATTTGGCCTCTGCTACTATTTGGCTGAAAGCCAATGAGAACTTTTACTAAGACTTTACTGAATACTTGATGATAACAAAATGGAAATAAAACATCAGTAATAGTTTATAATGGCAGCCATATTCAGCTGCAGTCTGAGTCTGTAAGCATGCTGATGTCCTGGTAATATCCTAGACTGGGTACATACACAGAAGTTATTCTTTCTGCCTTTCACCTGGCCATGATGAGTTTGTTCTCTTTGCAGTCACACTGTCTTGAATGTTTTAAACACAAGTTTTGCCTTTAAAAAATTGCATAAGACTAAAATTTAATTGAAGTTACTTCTCTCTCTTCCCTGCCAAATAGTTACTGCTCCAAGGCTAGATTCAAGCTTCTACTTTTTAAGAAAGTTTCAAATTCAAATTGACAGTTTCTCCAATTAAAAGTAAATGGAGGGGCTGGGAAGGTGGCTCAGTGGTAGAGTGCTTGCCTTGCATGCATGAGACCCTGGGTTCCGTTCCTCAGCACCATATAAGCAGAAAAAGCTGGAAGTGGTGCTGTGGCTCAAGTGGTAGAGTGTTAGCCTTGAGCTGAAGAGCTGAGGGACAGCGCCCAGGCCCAGAGTTCAGACTCATGACCGACAAAAAAACAAAAACAAAACAAAAAGTAAATGGAACTAATACACTTGTGTCCAGTTTTAGATTTTAGACTGTGAACTCCATTATACCAGAGTATGTTATTATATATTGTATCAACTATGATTCACTAATGCCTGTTTTTCTCACTTTCTCCTCTAAATATTTTGCTAAAACCATGTTTTTGTTGTGTTATATATAATGAAGATAGTCACTTTGAAACAGTGGGGTTACATATTTTTAGATATAGTAAAGGCAATTGTGAAAGAATTATGTAGGTATATTTTATAAAGTGAACCATATCTTTTCATGTTTAGTTTTGGCTTGAACACTTTTTTTTTTGTACTTTTGAGCCTGACTCATTTTATCACATAAAAGTTTTGTGTACCATCTTTGTGCTTCTTGTGCATATTTAAGTGTAATATGTAAAGTTTTGTAAATTTGGAAGTTCTAACCAATGTAACTTGGTTGTGCTTTAGACAAAAAAATGACTACATAAAGCTGCTATATAAAACTTTGCAGAAGCTTTATATATTACACTTACATATGCACAAAGCACCTCTATAAATATTTATAGACTAAATGCTTTAGTACCTTCTTCAAACAGGCATTTCATAGCTAATGTTTTGGGAAAAATTAAAAAAGCATATTTTATAGAAAAGAAGCCCAGTGGATCCAGTAGGAAAAAACAAACAACAACTCTGAACCCAGCTTTTGTAGTATTTTCAAAATATCTGGTAAATTGCTTTTATGGATGGAGTGAGATTTCTTGAAGGAAAAGTTTATTTTTATTTTTCATCTATTTTAAAAGTGAAGTTTCTTGACGGATGCTGGTGGCTCATACCTGTAAACTTAGCTATTCAGGAGACTGGATTTGAGGATCATGGTTCAAAGCCAGCCTGGGAGATTCTGATCTTCATTTAATCACCAAAAAGCTGGAAGTGGAGCTGTGGTACAAGTAGTAGAGTGCTTAGAACAAAAAAGCTAGCGACAGTGCCTTGGCCTTGAGTTCAACCCTCAGGACTGCCACAAAACAATATAAAACAAAACAAAAAACCCCAAACAACAAAAAAGAACATTTCCTATTTGTTAATTTTCAAAGTGAAAGCATTATAAGCAAAATTGAAAATGATATTCTAAAAACAATAGATATCACATTACATATCAATTTTATGAAAGATGGAGGCTAATATTCTAGATAAAATAATTATTTTTTCCTATTTAATTTGGAAAATAGTCATATTCTCTTGATAGAAAACAGTGTGACATGAACTGGTTAAATCCTATAAGCCAACCAGTTGGGAGATGCTGCAGTTTTGCGTGTGTCCTCTAACACTTCACATAGATGTATGTCCTGTTTTGGTCTCTTGGCATTTTGTACAGGCCCTGACCTGTGCGATGTCTAGATTGTACCTGTGAATATTTGTAGACTTATTTGGCTATAAATTTCTTAGATTACAGAGTTGTTTTATACTGACCTCCGAGTTCAAGCCCAGGACCAGTGTGCACTCACACACACATGCGTGCACACACACTACATACCCACACATACCCATAGACATAAAGATACGGTGTTCAAGAATCAACTGACAGTATTTTACTTATGCTTAGTCTGGGAATACCCTTGGAATTAAATTGGCTGATAAATGTGGAAATAGACATAGTCGAAACTTCAATAAAACTTATTCGGGGCTATGTTTTTCAGGTGAAGCCCTGAAGGTATCAGCTGAGAGATTCACAGATGATCCCTGTTATCTACCAAAAAGGGAGGCGGTGGTTCAAGCAGCTCGTGCCTTGTTGGCTGCAGTTACAAGACTGCTTATCCTCGCAGACATGATTGATGTCTTGTGTCTCTTGAAGCATGTGTCATCTGTAAGTAAAAGATAGCTTAGTTTGCTTTGGTGGTGTTCTTACTTTGAATTCCACTCCTTGAAGTTGGTATCAATCCTAGAACATCCCTGGTGCATCACTTTCATTTTCTTAATATCACCCATCAGAGATTGACTGAATTAGGTTGGGAAGACTGATGTATGCCTCAAAAGAATGAAGCCCAAGGGCTGGAGGAGAAGCTCATGTGTTAGAGAGCCAAGTACAAGGCCTTCTGTTCAAAACTACCATAAAGCTGTAACACACACACACACACACTCACTCACTCCCAAAACAATGAAGCCACAATTAAGTCTTGAAGCAAGTGAGAAATTGAAGAACTAAAGATTGTTTGCTGGAGAGATATAAAGAAGAACAAAATTATGCAGCTAACATAATTAATACATAAACAATTTAAGAAAGAGAAACCTTAAAGCTTAAGACACTTAGAAATTATACTATGCTACTTTTCTAGCTCTGTATGTATGTATGCATGTATGTATGTATGTATGCATGTATGTATTTACTTATGTCAGGGATGGAACTCATGCCTGTACATATTAGGCAGGTACTCTTGTAAGTTATATCCCAAGACCAGCCAGCTCCTCTTGTTCAAGATAAAAAACAAGTTTAACATGAGTTTTGAACATTTTTTTTTTTTTGTTCATCGTGGGGCTTGAACTCTGGGCCTGGGCACTGTTCCTCAGCTCTTCAGCTCAAGGAGAGCTCTATACCACTTGAACCACAGCGCCACTTCCAGGTTTTTCTGCTTATGTGGTGCTAAGGAATGGAACCCAGGGCCTCATGCATGCAAGGCAAGCACTCTACCACTGAGCCACCTTCCCAGCCCATGAATCATTCTTAATTAGAAAAACAAGGTAGCAAGATAGTGTGCTTGTTTTATTTTGCAAGACAAATCAAGTTGGTACAGTTTTGTTATAAAGAGAACTTCATTAAAGCTTTTATTTGGTTTGACAAGATCATAAATAGTCTAGATGAAAGGGTTGTAAATCTGAATTTTCTGCCTTAAAGGGCTCTTATACTTCTGCCTATAATTTTATAAAGGCACCTCATACTCTCCATATAATTACTACTCATGTGATCAAATAATGGCTGAAGGCTTTCTGCATCTATTGAGATGATTATGTTTTTCTTGTCTTTGCTTCTGCTTGTATGCTGTTTTAAATTTATTGATTTTCATGCATAGAACCATCCATTACTGGAATTAAGCCAACTTGATCACGATGTATTATCTTTGCAGTATGTTGAATTCAGTTTGCAATATTTTATTGAAGTTTTTGTATTTATGTTAACCAAAGACATTCTATATACTTTCCCTTTTTTTGGTGGTGTCTTAATCTGATTTTGGTACCAGAGAAATAATACTGACTCCTAGAATAATTCTGGTAATATTCTATTTTATTCTATCTTATTGGAAAATTTTAGGAGCATTGTGGTTAGTTCTAGTAGACTTCAGCACTGAGTCTATGTGGTCCTGAGATTATCTTTGTTAAAAGATGTTTTTCTTTTTCATAACTTGTTTTTTTTTGTCTCATTGCTTGCTGATTATATGTTTATTTGTATCTTCTTTTGTGGTCAAGCACATCTAGAAGTATATTCATTTCTTTCAGAATGTTAAATTTCTTGGGATGCAAGTTTCTAAAATGGTCCTGTACATTGCAGTAGTATTTGTGGAAATGTCACCCTTCACATCTAGTTTTTATCATTTAGGTCTTTTCTTTTTGTTTTCCTTTTCTTCTTTCTTTCTTTCTTCCTTCCTTCCTTCCTTCCTTTCTCTCTCTCTCTCTCTTTCTCTCTTTTCTTTCTTTCTTTCTTTCTTTCTTTCTCTCTCTTTCCTTCTTTCTCTCTCTCTCTCTCTTTATTTCTTTCTTTCCTTCCTTCCTTGTTTCGGTTAGTTTGGCTTAGGTCAAGCTTATTCATTAATTTGAAGAATGAACTCTTTGTTTCATTAATCATTTGTATTATTCTTTTACTTTCCACTTTACTAATTTTGGCGTTGATCTTTATTATTTCTTTACTTCTAATTTTGGAATTAGTTTATTTCTGTTTGTCTAAGATAAGGAGGTACATTATTGGGCTATTGATTTCAGGTGTTTCTGAGTTTTTGATATAGGTATTTTATACTATACATTTGCCTTTTAGAGCCACTTTCATTCTATATCTTAGATTCTGTTTTGCTTTCATTTTCATTTAGTGGAATTTTAAAATATCCTCCCACTAATTGTTGGCCCATCCATCAGTCTAATGTGTGTTGCTCATTCTCCATGTGTTTGATTATTTTCTGTAGTTTCTCATGCTGTTGATTTAAATTTTATTTCACTGTAGCTAGATAAAACACAAGTTGCTATTCAAATTTTCTTGTATTTGTGAAGACTTGTTTTATACCCTAAAATCTTTTTCAGAAAGTTCTGTGGCCTGTTGAAAGGAATATACATCTGCAGCTGTTTGTAGAATATTCCTTAGATGTTTGTTAAGTCCATTTGATCGATTATGCCATTTAATTCTTAAGTTTCTTTGTTGATTTTTGTCTGCATGACATATTTATTGAGAGTAGTGTTTTGAGGTCACCTGCTATTATTGTTTGGTGTGTAATTGTGCTCATTTCATGAAATTGAGTATGCCAACACATAGTATATTTACAATGTTTGTATTCTTTCGATGCATTATTCCCTTTATGAAAATAAAGTGACCTTCTTTGTCTCTTCCAACTTTGGTATATGAATATAGCTAAACCTCCTTACTCTTGGGTTCCATTTTTAAAAATAAATTTTAATCTATTCTTTATTTTTTTATTATAAAGGTGATGTACAGAGGGGTTGCAGTTACATAAGTCAGGTAATAAGTACATTTCTTTTTGAACAATGTTAAATCTTCCCTCATTTCCCCTCCAGTTTTTCCCTCCTGACTCTCTGAGTTCCATTTCTTTGAGAAATCTATATTTTTTTGGTAGCAATGTAATTTTATTTTTTCCCTTTCTGTGTGGCATAGGTAGGTTTAAAAATTTTATTTATTATCATTGTAGAGGGATGCATAGAGAGGTTATAGTTACATAAGTCAGATAAAAAGTACATTTCCTTTTGAACAATGTCACACTTTCCTGCTCTCTCTCCCTCCCATCCCCATCCACAACTTATATAGTTCATTTTCAACACAGTGTCTAGTGAGTATCACTACTGCATTTGTTTGCCCTTTCCCCATTTCTGTGTCTCTCCTTACCCTCCAAAAGACAGATAAATGAACAAACATGACAAAAGGAAAAGAAAACAAAAACAGCATCAAAGTAAAAAAAAAAAAACAAAAAAACCCTGGGCTGGGAGTGTGGCTTAGTGGTAGAGTGCTTGCACAGCATGCATGAAGCCCTAGATTCAATTCCTCAGTACCACATAAACAGCAAAAGCTGGAAGTAGAGCTGTGGCTCAAGTGGTGGAATGATATAACCTTGAGCAAAAGAAGCTCAGGGACAGTACTCAGGCCCTGAGTACAAGCCCCAGGACTGGCAAAAACAAAACAAAACAAAACAAAACAAACCCCTCCCCCCCCAAATCCAACCCTCTTGTTTCTATTTCCTGGAGTTCATTTTAATAAATATTATTTTATATGATCATATGCACATAGCTATAGAATCTTTGTAATCCTCTCCTAAGAATACCCTCCTTTGGGGGCTGGGAAGGTGGCTCAGTGGTAGAGTGCTTGCCTTTTGCGCATGAGGCCCTTGGTTCGATTTCTCAGCACCACATAAGCAGAAAAAGCCAGAAGTGGTGCTGTGGCTGAAGTGTTAGAGTGCTAGCCTTGAGCTGAAGAGCTGAGGGACAACGCCCAGGCCCAGAGTTCAGGCCCCACAATCAACAAAGAAAAAAAGAGAAAAAAAAGAATACCCTTCTTTGATCTCACTTTCTGTGAATTCCTAGAGACCTATATAATTTATCATATCCCAGTGTGTTTATTTATTTATTCTCTTTTACCTTCAGTATGTTTACTTGTAGAGTTATAGGCACATCCTAGTTACCACAAATGAAGGAAGCCATGCAAACTATGTTTCTTTGACTCTGGCTTACTTCACTTAATTTAATTTTTTTCAAGACTTTCCATTTCCTTATGAACGGTACAATATTGTACTTTCTGGTGGATGAATAGAATTACATGCTACATTTTATGACCCAGCAATTCTACCCCAGGACATTTATCCAATAGAATACAAACAAAGCCTCACTAAAGCTACCAGCATAACCATGTTCATTGCAGCAGTGTTTACCATAGCTAAGATATGGAATGAACTGAGATGCCCCTCAGGGAAAAATATACTTTTTAAAATCCTTTTGCATAAAGTTTGTTTTTGTCTTTGGTAGCAAGTATGTTTCTTTTAGGCAACAAATGGTTGGGTCTTGTGTTTTTTGTTTTTGTTTTTGTTTCCAACCTGATAGTGTGTGTCTTGATTGGAGGATTCTGACTACTAGCATTCAGAATTGTTATTGAAAATTATGTAGTATATCAAATCAATCAAATCAATCAATCAAATGTAGTATATCAAATGTTCTATTTCTCCTTTCTAGTCCTTATTTGCTTATCTACTTTTTTAGTGAGATATTTCCCACATTTTCATGGTTGTTTTTATCTTAATCTTCTCTGAGTAGAATTCCTTGTGTGGTAATGAATTCCTTTAGATTTTGTAAAGAAAATCATGGAAGATTTTTCAGATTTGCTTCAATTATGAATGGCAGATTTGTTGGATCTAGAAATCTAGTTTAGCATTTATTTTCTTTGAGGACTTGAAATATATCATTCTGTGCATTCCTTGATTTCATATATATTTAGAGAATTATTAAAATCACTACTTCTATGAATGAAAAGTACTTTTAACCTAGGTCTTCCTCATATGATACTCACTTTATTTTATTATTTTGCTGAGTCACAGGTTTGAACTCAGGGCCTGGGCACTGTCCTTGAGCTCTTTTGGTCAAGGCTAGTGCTCTATCACTTTGAGCCTC